CCACACATTAACATTACTTATAAATAGACGACACGTGAAACACCACTTCGATGAAGTGAGACACGTGAACGTCCAAGAAGACGCTCAGGAAGAAGTCCAAACGGTAGACTAAAATTAAATTTACATTAATTCAGTAGTTAAACACGTTTCATTTATATTTCATTACATTTCTCCTTAATTATTATTATTATTGAGTAGGTATAAACATTAATTATATAAGAAACATAGCATAAAACTAAACCTATTCCAATATAAATATGATATCTATAGAATCATCTAGATGTCTCTTTTCGTTACAGCGTGCTTGCCCAAGGTCACGCAGAGTTCGTCCAACAAATCAACACGAGCTCAGGTATATATTTTGACCCAATTGGCGAACTCAAAATTCGCGTGAGCCACTTGGATATAGTGACACCATTAGACATCTCCTATATTGAACCTCACATCAAAAATATAAATTCGATACTAGGGACAATACGCCTTATCTGCAACCAAATTGCAATAGAAACCTCAAACAATTTAGAATGTTACAATATATTAGAACCACTTACAGTAAGGTATCGCGACATTACTTCCGAGTATTCCTCTATATCCCATTTAGTTAACAAAAGGTTCAAACGAGGGGCATGGATAGGAGGTATTGGCACTCTGTCTAAAACTATATTTGGGACCCTAGATGAGAACGACGCTGTCAAATATGACAACGCCATTCAAAATATTCAAGATAACGAAAAAAGGCTGAGTTCATTAATGAAAGAAAACATCTTAGTTACTTCTACTATTTTATCAAAAATTAATAACACGTTACACGAGATTAAAATTAATGAAGCCAGCCTTAACCTAGCTATCGACAATTTCTCTTCAAAATTGCAAAACATATCATTAATTTCTAACGAATTAAACATTAAATCAAAAATAAATTCAATCATGAACAGTTTAGAAGCATCCATACTCACCTTATCATTTCGGTTAGAAGACATAACTACTGCTGTCTTGTTGTGTAGTCAAAACATCCTGCACCCGATTATTATAACGCCCTCGCAATTATACCAAGAGATTGTCGATAACTATCGGTACTTACCTGTAGATATTAAGTTACCTGTAAGCTTAGCGTTAAGTAATATTCATAGTCTAATGAATATATCTAGTGTAGTATGTTATAGTTTAAATGACAGGATTGTTTTTGTTTTAAGAATACCTTTAGTATCCCCTAAGGAATACAGTTTGTACCATAGTATTGCACTACCGACCCCACATAGTAATGTAGACCCCCAATCTTTTAGTTTCATAATTCCTAGTAGTAAATACATAGCAATGACCAAGGATAAATCTGAATATTGTAACCTTGATTCACTAAAGGAATGCATACCGATAAGCCAGCGCGAGTATATCTGTGACGTATTGACCGTGTTCCCGACGAGTGCGAAATCGAGCTGTGAAAGTGAATTGTTGTCAAATGTGATAAGAGTTTTACCATCGCAGTGTCAAACTGATTTCCTTCACGGACACATAGATTTATGGAAACCACTTTACAATAATAATTGGATTTACATACAATCCCAAAGTAGTAAACTGTATATAGAATGCCCAAATCGAAAAATTAACGATATTAATATTATTGGTACAGGAATTTTAACTATTCCGAATAATTGTATCGGATACTGTAAAAATACAAAATTAATACCTAAATTTAATAATTTTAAAATTAATGTTACTGTAGCGCATTCAGACTTCAGTATAATCAACGACTCCTGTTGTAACCTAGATAAGTTTAGGAACTTGATGAGTGATGAGCCTCCTCTAAAATTACACAACATCGACCTTGACGTTTTTACATCAGAAACAAAACTAAAATTAAAATCTTTGTCTGATGAAACAGATTCTATTCTAAATCAACACCAGATAATAAAATATGAGACTCATTACTCAATCTTAATTATTTTAAGTATTTGTATGATTTCTATTTTTTGTAGTGTTAAACTGTTTTTATACATTAAATCGCACAACCGTCTTTCCCGTCACTTTTCTATATTTTCCAAACCAACTCCAGCCGACTCACCTCCAGAACCAACTCCAAATCCCGACACGGTAATCCCGTTAAAGATCACCAAGCATCTCCCGGAACCGGAAAACTTACCATCTCCTAGCATTAGGAGAAATGTGTAAACATACACTCTCCATCTCTTCTTGATTCCTCTTCTACCCTTTCTCTCTCCCTAAACATCGAAATTTCTACCCCGATGTTTAGTTTACCCCAGGGAGGTGTTAGAGATGCCTTATGTAAGCATTCCTGCACACCCCACACTTCTACTCTGCACACTCAGCATTTCTCCATCAATAGCCGAACGACCCGTCCACTCATGACCAGTCTCATCCCGATATCCAAGCCAGACGGTTGTCTTAACCCTATTTAGTATTTTATTTCTTTTTAAAAAGACAAGTTCCCCGAGACTCGTAACAGCACGTAATAATTGTATTTCGAAGTTATAACTAACAATATTCGAGGCAATACGTGAACATTTAAATTGGAACAGGTAAACATCAACAATTGACAACCGAGGGTTTTGATAAATTTTATTTCGGTAATACGTAGTTATTTTTTAATGAGCTTCTTTCATTTATTACTAAACAGTTTAAGACACTTTTGTAAAAGAATATAGTACTGATAAAATGTAGAAAATACATTAAAATGTTCAGTTTTAATAAAAAAGGCATTATTAAAAATAAGCTTTAAACAATTAAAATCACCAAGAACATAAGTTTTAAAATCACTTTCATATAAATGAAGCTAAAGTGGTTTGTTTTCTTTTATTGATTTGATTTGTTTTCTTAATTTGGGTGAATCAATTAATGGAAAATAAATAAGTCTGTCTTTAGACGAGTTCGGAAACATCACATGCCACGTGAGTGGTGGAACTTAAATAATAACTACAAATACACACATAGTTTAAAATAAAATACAAAATACCAACGACCCACAAACGCGATCGATTCAAATCACACCGAGGGAATTCCAATTAAAATGCATTTCAATGAAATCTAGAACGATTATAGAATCCGATGGTTGGCAAATTAAAACCGGAACTCCCTAGGATTTCCTGTTCAATTTTCATGGAGCACGACACGATAAAAATCCATTAGGAAACCGTCGCAAGAGGCCTCTGTGTCACAGTGCTTTGCTAAATGAATTTAAGGGACCACTGGAAGAGATAGCGAATTAAAGTTCAATACATGCATTGAAACTTTGTCTGCTTAAAATTTTTTACGTATTTATTACTTAGCGGTAGTGTTAATGGTAAATGTTGTAATGCCCTTTAATTTTATCTCTTACAATGATTGGGATGAATAATGGTTGCCAGAAAGGGTCCATCAGTCAGGGTGTTAATTGGTCCATCAGAGTAATGTCTTTTATAGACACAATCGTGAGTTTAAATCCCTAACTGAACTATTCCTAAATATTAAATTTAAAGGACTAGTGGATTTTGAAATGAACTCATGTTCATTTTTTAGAATAGAATGTTTGAATACTAGATGTTGTTAATTATAATGATAACTTCACAGTCCAAACGTTACAGTTCCGCTAGTTCATTTTACCAAATAAAATAATAACGTTTCTAGAAGCATACGTGTGGATATCCAGGGTTGCCATAATGCGATTCCGTAGCAATCACATGGTTCATTTTGCATTCTAGCAAACACTTTTACCGCGGTGCCCTCAGAGCCTTTGCCGTTAGCAACCAGCCCTTTGGCTTTAACGTTCAAATTCTAATAAATAACCTATGCAACTGATGGAATCTGTGCAGCTATTGTGGGTGCATTTATATAGACGACGTTTTATCACTTAGTACGACAATATTACAACACAAAAATATTTGTATTTGGCATCTCAGATTCTGATTTATTTTATTTTACAATAAAATGGGTTTCATCATCATCATCCTCATCAAAATCCTTTAACAGTCCACTGCTGAACATAGACCTCTCCTTAAAAAGGAGGTTTTGGCCAACTATAGCACGCTGGCCAGACGGGTTGGTAAAGGGTTTGTGTCAAGTTTTCCTTCTCTTTGCAGTATTGTTGTCCTGCCTAGTTTGCTCCCTTAGTCGGCTCTTACGACACCCACGGGATGATTGGGGGTGGTGACAATCCGTATATATAAAGTGGATAAAGTAAGAGTAAATAAAAAATAAGTTTAATAAAGGTGATTCATTAAAAACAAAGTAATGAATTTGTAAAACCTTCTTCATTATCCTAATTAAAAATGTCAACAAAGGGAATTATCTCGGGATAAACCGGCCAAGAGCAGTTTGAAATATACACAGAAGGTTCGCAGTCGCAACTTTGATAAAAAAGTAATGTTTGGTGATAATAGTGTACATACCTAACCATTACTAACAGGATTACATTGTTAGAAATGAATCAGTTACAGAAATGTATTCTTTAAATATCGAGCTACGCGCACAGAGTTAAGAGTAATTAAAGTAGGTTTTTGTTTTTTTTTTATCTTCACACATCTCACACACGGTCGTCTGACCCCAAACTAGGCAGAGCCTGTGTTATGGTAACCAGACTGCTGATAAATATACTTATATATTTTTTAAACACATACATATTATAGATAGAATACACCCAGGCACAGAACAAATGACCGTGCTCATCACACAATATTTGTCCTGGGTAGGAATCGAATCCACAACCTCCGGCTTAGCAGTCAGGGCCACTGACCACTAGATCAACAGGCCCGTCGAAGTAAATTATAAGTTTTTCAAGTAACTCCAAAACAAAAGTTGTTTATTGAAATAAATTTCGACCTAATAAAAAACATAAACTCACCAGACTTTTAATGTCTGTTTAATTTGTGTTAGTAAAGTGTTTTATTATAAGCAAGAAGAAGATATGTGTTAGATATTTCATTTCCTCCATCCCTGTACATTAATTTACTTGCTGAGAAATGACAGACTTTAAGGTAAGTACGTGTACGACGATTATACCAAAGCTTATAATGAATTCTCATATACAGCAGACTATTCAATATTCACCGTTATGCAGCAGAGTGGAGTCCCTGGCGAGCGGTAACTCTGAGTCTGTAAGGGTCGCGTCGGACGCGTTGTCGGACGCCGAGGTGGGCGTGGCGGGCGCGGTCGGCGAGTCAGAGAGGCCGCTGCGCGCGCGCCGCCGCCCGCTACCGCTGCTTGATCCGCTGCCGCTGCCCGAGCCGTACGGGTGCAGCCGGCCCAGGCCTGAAATCACACCAAATTATAACATACTGTTTCTGTGTATGTAGAATTTGTTTAATCAATTGTTTCAATAAATTATACTTTTGTTTTTTTTTTAATTTATTAAAATCGTAAACGTAATTGCAAGGGATATGGTAAATTGTAGTGAGCTCGTATATATTATAGTATTTATCTTAATCACCTTAATTTTAATTTATAAAGGACAGTTTCTATTTCAAGACTATCTTTTCAAACTTAAACTTAATATATGTCTGATAATTATAATCATTTTAGGGAAATAATTTAACTATACCAAATCACACTACTGTTGCTGTGTTATAAATTAGCCCATCATACGCAATCGATAGCGCAATCAAAAATTCGACGTTAGACCAAAACAAAAATTTGCCAGCATTTTGATATTCGTATAGATAACGCAGGATATCTAGAGTACTTTTCTTAAACGAATGACATATTTAAGTAAATTGTATGATTTCTGAAAAGATTCCTAATACGCATTTACACAAACATAAACAAATAAAAACCAATAAGACGAAAGATAGAACTGATACGTCGGAAAAACACAGTTGAGGCTCCAAAAATTACGTATGAATAAAGGAGATACTATCGACAATAAATAAAAGGAAAAGAAGCCTCATAACAACCTCGGAAGGAAAGGGAAAAATAATTAGGAATAATATGGCTTGCGAACATCACAAAGAGTACAAAACAAATGTTTTATGAAATTTTATTCGGAAATAAAAATGAGAAATGAAATGTTGTCTGTAAGTACGTACCTAGGTACTTTTGCAGGAATATTAATTATAACAATTCTGTTCAGAAAGAAATCTATTTACTACAGGAAAATGGGAAAATTATTAAGTATGAGAATTTTGACAAATTCTAACTAATATTATTGATGGAAAAGTGTTGTTTATACAGCAGGCGGGTAACTTGATGTAAAGTGACAACCGCGGCACATGGACTTAAAAGTCACAAGCACGTAGCCGTGGGTAGCGTGGGTATTAACACCGCATAACGCTTTCAAGCCCTTTTAACTGATCGTCATGAAATTTTATATGCACTTGTCTAGATAGAAGTGGACATAAGGTATTTTTCATACTGACAAAACTAATGTTTCTGAGGAATAAAAAAATAACTTTTACTCTAGCGAAGCCATAAGTAAAACCTAGCTAAGTAAAAGTAAATGGCTGTGTACTGATTTTTTGTTGATAACGCCGGCAGCGAAATAGGAAAATACATTACAAATGCTTTCCCGCATTGTTATTTACTAAAGAGGAAATAATTGGAGTACCGTCATGAACAACTTATTAAGATCCGACTGGAATTATTAATCGTAACTTACATACACAATTACGTACTAGAAATAAGTGTTCGTATTAACATTTTGGGTTTTTTTAAGACAACTCCCGCATTAAGAATATATCCTGTGACTTCACAAACATACATGAAACGGACACAAAGAACACTCAGACTCAGAACAACAATTTGTGATCACACAAAGTCATGAGTGTTGTGGGGATCGAACCCGCAACACTCAGCGTTGTAGTAAGTAGCGTGGCGACCGCTTAAACCACTACTCCAGTATGTAATGGGACTTCTATAAAAAAGGCTATTTGTAAATATTTATTTATTTGAGAATAAGTAATTAGACTATTAGTCGTCGAGTGAGAAGGGAAGTGTAATTCTCACTGAATACTTAGTAGTTTGTGTCTGCTTTCCTTAGACAAACCACAATTGTAAATATAAATAAAACATAATGTAGTATATTCTAAAACAACAAAACATTCATGTAAATATGTATATATCCATAATATTATAAATGTGAAAGCATGTCTCTCTGTAGTCTGTAAATGAAATTTGGTATAGAGTTACTTTGAGTTACGGGTAAGGACATAGGATAGTTTTTATCCAAGAAATCAATCCTTTAAGGGGGTGAAAATAGAGGTAAGTATTTAAACTAACAATATTTTATTTTAAGCTGTTTAATATAAATACTCTACTTCTAACTACTGTTACTGTTTAATATAAATACTCTACCAACACTGGTTAGAGTACTCTAACCAGTGTTGGACTACAATTTGAACTAGGGCAATTTTCTTTTAATTATATTTATAGATCGAACAACAAGGATGCCTATAAAAGCCTGTATTTTAATTCTGAAATATCATACATTCGTTAAACCAATGCTATAACATAAAACCTATTCGAATAACGAACTAATATGCCAAATGTATTCCTCATTAATTATTGTAGATATTGTCATCATTTAGTTATTTTAAACTGATCACGTCCAGTTTATTTGAAATGTAATTAACATTAACTGTATCATCAATCTGACGCCCCTTATTAGGTTTAATAACTAATAAAAGCATTTATAGATAAAACATAGTTTAAATAATATAGTGATGAATCATAAAGTAGAATGGAAGAAGAGTACATTTTAACGCCCACCCATCCAAAATGAATTTAGTATAAGAGCCAAAAGGCGATGATGATACAAATAAGAAACTTACTGTAGGTAATGAAATTATTTCTTTACTTAAGCAAAAATATCCTTAAAGTAATTATTTTCTCAATCAAGTATCAAGCACTGGAGCACAAACTAAAATCCAATTTGATGCCGCAAATCACTGCAAACGTTCGTCCTTCAGATAAAACGATGTAAAACTAAAACGCTTTATAAAATCAGGGTTATTCTAGACTTCAGTACATTCTGGCGTAGGCGGCGGGGGACTAACACAAATAAAAATACTGTCTGTTTCCTCTTTCAGTGATAAAATAAGTGATAAGAGGTCCACGCAGGACGTCCGCGGTGATAATATTTGACCGGTCAATTTTAATGAAACGTATATTTGTTTAAATTGTACAACAGTTTTGTTAAATAATCTTGGTATGATGAGTCACTTTGATACCAAAAATAGTGTTAGTAAAGTACTGTGGTACAAACATATATCTGCTGTTGTCTATGTAATAAACATTGGAGAAAAACATTAAGTACCAAGTATGTATTCGAAACAGTACATGTGTTTTCTATCTTATCGAGTACTTCTTTGAAATGATTTATTCTTATGGTTATTGTTGTCTTGGATTAAGAAAAACACATCAAGTTTCTATTCTATCTATTTTTACTGGAAAAATGTAACTATCGTACCTTTTCGTATGTTAGTAGGAAGTAAAATCCTACAAAGTAACGAAGGTAGTTGACTAACAATAACTAAATTGCTAAAGTTATGGTAATTGAGGAATGCAGTCCCCCTCAAAGTCAACAGTTTGCCAAAGTTTCGTGATTACAGCACAAAGCAAGCGTTTAAGTCTCAACAATGATTCTTAAATGGCCAATTTTCAATTTTCCACGAACTAATCCCGAAAGATTGAACTTCACAAATTACAATAAAGATTCTATACAGAGGAATAGTAAACTCATAAATATACGATTGGCGGGTTCCTTGCCTAGCAAAATCACGTCGACTGCCCCAATGTATACGATAAAAAATATATAGTAAATAAAACAAGATCCTCTTTCCGCACGTATTGTTAGCGGTTCGTTACTAGTAGAAGGGAAAACTACGATTTGAATTCGACAAAGTCGCATAAACGAACTGACAAATCTCATCCCTAGGGGTACGTGGTTACAATTGTTGCAAAAAAAGACATGTAGACAATTCACATGTGCACCCTAGGGACTATTGACTTCGCGTATTGATTTAAATATAAACGCAATTATGCGTATTTTGAAAAAAATGAAATCATTTGAATGAACGTTTTCAGGACTCGATATAAATCTAAGGAAATAATGAACAGCTGCGTTCGACGAAGATTTCTTTGGGAGTTGTAACTGTCAATGAAAAGAGGGGGGTCGTTGCCAATTTCCAAATTGACAACGACTTCCCTCTTTCCTAGGGATGGGTGGGTATTTCATACGTAAGAGGTCTATTGATCTTACACTATGTTCAGAATTTGGGGAAAAAGGTAAAAGTAACAAGTTTTTCATTATTTTCAGATCACAGTGATGAATATTCTGGAAATTACTAAAAATAAAGGTAGACCAGATAGATATCATGATATGTATTAACTACCGTCAATAAGTTACGGTATCTGTGATCGGCCCGTGACCATGAAACATGATCATGGGTACCTCCTGTAATAACAATAAAATTAAATTAAACACCGTGTAGTTTTTTTTTATAAAACTCTAATATTGCCATAGATATTGATTTTGAAAAACGTATACATATATCACCGTATTATCATTTTCGGGGACTCCTTGTATTTTATTAATGACATTTAAAAACAAGTTTATTGGGCTCATACATCAATACGATTAAAGATACATAATCGATGATCTCGTATCGTAAGGCTCAACATATTTCTGTTCTGTTTTCTGATATTATCGATTATTAATATTTGTGTATACTTGTACTTAAAGGTCAACTCACATATTTAAACGTATTAAAAAACACGAAAAGAGCTACATTTAAACGGCAGCTACAGCTCAGTTTATTTAGTTTTTAGAAATGAGTAATATTTTTAGAACTGACGGAGCTTTATGAATCCCTGGATTATCCTTTAAAATTATTCTGGAAGAGCCGTTACTGCTATTAAAGCAGGATAGTGCTAGTTTTGCGAGCAAATGTCCATAAACACTTATACGAGTATTTGGCAAAAGATAAAACATTGTTTACTTTGCGTATGGGTTGTATTATTTGGTACAAAAATATGCATTTTAAGCCTTACCACTCGACCCAATCGAGAGCTTTTAGGAATGTTTTCCAATGAACGAGCTTAAAAGGATGCATGTATGTAAAATGCTAAAATATCTTAATGAAAGAGAATAAATTAAAAGCAGGAAAAAATCGTTAAAAATGTTTTTCTTTTATATTTTCCACATATTCCTGTCACTCGTGATTTGTTTCGTTTATATAGGATTCCACACCCTTTTTTCTTTATGTAAATCAATATAAGTTCCTAAAGTCCCCACTTCAGATATAATATTCTAAACACGGTGCCCCGCGTTAAGGCAAACGTAGAAATTTGTCACATGAGC